AGCTTCAAGGTGCCAGAGGTGGATGCAGAGGAACGCTCTCCTGAGATGTGAGCAGGGCTGATGACCTGCTACAGGAAACATCTCACCACTATGTTCGCCCACAAGGCTACTGGTTGCACCGAGTGGTGTTTTGCTTGGTGATCGAATACTCATTTCACTGCATGACGTGAAAATGTGCCTCTGTGTGTACTGCGGCTGATGCTCTCTCCGTTCAAATGAAACTACAGACACTGTTAGTGAGTCACGTCCATCAGGGGTTAACCCCCCCAGGCCACGGGTTTCAACACTGCTGAAAAATAAATGTTGCTTGAAGACAAATATGATCCTGGTCCTTTGTTCCTGAACATTGGAGGTGGCACAGCAAAACAGCCAACACTCCAGTCAGCTGTTTAAATGCTGATGAAGAAGCAATTAAACAGGAAAACGGACTTGCTATGCAGTGCCATGATAGCATGCAAGGCTGCTCCCTCAGGCTATGAGACTGCAGATGAGCTGCAAACAGAGGAGGCGTTTGCAGAAGCACTGCTGGACAAAGCTGCCTTTGTTTTTAAGGCTGCTGTTTCCGTGCTGTCAGTCCACGGTGTCACTCCTGCTTCCAGCAGCGTTTCAGGTGCGGCTCTTTGTTGTTGATCACTGCAGTGGGTAACTGGTTGGGCACAGTGACAGGCTGTCACAGATCTGTCACTACGAAAGCAGCAGCAGTGGACTCGACTTGTAAAAATAGCACCAAATGAAAGAAAATGGAGACATTAATGAGCACAGTCGGGTGTTGCTGTAGAGTCCCTGGAGGCTTCGCACTCCGAGGCGTGAGTGTGTCTGCATCTGTGTATGTTGTCAAACAAAGTGACAGGGAAGCAGCACATCTGAAGGCCGGAGAAGAGCGAGCTTCAAAGAGAAGCCGACACACTGGTTCGCTGTTCTCTAGCAGTGATCTGCTCCCTCAGTTCATGTGAATGTATGCTTTGACAAACACTGCTCCGGCATGCCGAGCTGGCCACTGTTGGCCACAGTGTGAAAGGGGTGTTACGCCCCCGCTGTGTCAGAAAACACGACGGGTCTGTAGAATACGTGTAATGGACTCACGGGGCCACTAGGTGGCTCTTATCCTCCATAACAACTCTGCTTCCCTTTGAAAGCAGCCACACGGTTTCATGTCTCACAGCTGGATTCCTACCACGGGGTGGGGGCGCAGAGGGGGGGGGCAGGGGAGAGAGTGCGGACTGTCAAAGTCGAGCAAATGAAAGTCAGAGAGGCTTTGACTCCTCTCAGGTGGGAGCTTCAGGTTTCCTGCACAGCTTATGCTGCAAACTCATTTATTGTCTATTCAAACATGTTTCTTCTAATCTGTGATTCATATACTTCAATTTATCAAGTGATGGATTTCAAAACTGACAACGTGGCAGCAACACTTCCTGCACAGCATAGTACTGTCTACAACACTGTATATTATTACTGAAGAAGAGAACTGAGAGTCGATGAGCCTAATAAACCCATCTGTAGATGATATTCTCCAAACTCCTCAGTAAACTGCAGGGTGACATATTCCCTCATCATCCTCACTCACACTCTGCTACAGCACAACATCATTAATAAATGCACCTTTACTCATGTTTGAGATTCAGCTGTATCAGGAGACTTTGTGTCTATAAGTCAGAAATATGTCATGTTTCTGCAGTAAAGCACGGTATCCCAGCATATCTCATGTTGTTATCAGAAACATGGAGCCCTATCCAGAAACTCACCAGAATTATGAAAACATACAGACAGAATAAACTGTAGATATTGGTTACATTTTATGAGTTCGTCATTTATCCAGGTGAAAAATCTGACCTGGCATCGTGGCAGCGAAACTCAAAACGCACACTAGCCAGCAAGTGGAAACAGAGTTTGTGCTTTGTTTTAATTTGCCTCTATATCAGGACAATATCAGGAACAAAGTAACAGCTGGCTCCAAATATTTGTAACACATGAAGTGTATGCAAAAAAGCAACGTCTGAAAACTAATTAGGTTCACTACCAGGGGCGGATCTAGAGGGGGGCATGGGGTGGCATGTGCCACCCTAGCTTTGCATATGACAGTGTTGTTTATTAAAATAAGACAGCATTAACACTTTGAGCCTGGCTACATAACACTGAATATATTACATGCTTCTGATTGTGCCAGAGCACATTTGAATCAACACCAAGGGCATTTCAGACTTGACACAGGTGGTTGTTACGCTCTGTAAATGGACTGAAGGTGAGAGTGATTAACCCTCTGGGCTCCACGGACACGCCGCACCTCCAAATCACACTGATTTAAGCTAACACAGCAACAAGCTGCAGCCACACAGAGTCTCGGATTCATGAGTGCTGAAAGTTGGGACTTCAGAGGATATACAAGTTCTTAAATTTTATTGACAGGCCATTAAATCCAGAGCTATGATTAAAAATATATGTGAGCCATGCTTTTTTCTAAATACGTCACGTTTAGTGCAGAAGGACGGGTTTAAAAAGGACAGCGTGACAACAGTAAACACAGAAACAAACTTTTGTTTACCGGCACAAATAATTTGTGGTGCATCTGATTGTTCTCTCACTTTAGTTATTGTAATAGTTTTAAGTGGTTGTAGAAAATGTTAAAGATGCCAGTGCTGGCTGCATTTTTAGATAAATAGTTGTTTTATGAATTTATTGTTCATACGTTTTCAAATTTTACAGTTTATGTTTGCAATCCAAGTTATTAAAACAATTCACTGAACATGTCTGTGGGCTAAACGACTACCAGGATTTGATGTTTTTGTGTGATTTCAGATCAGTTGTGTTACTGCAGCATGACGATGAAACAATCAGTGTAGATTCACACTGAGCTGATGAAATGAGACCAAACAACATACAAAAAAGGAGCAACGATGTGCGGTCGAGCTCCCCAGAGGGTGAACCCAACACATCCTGAAAAAGGAGGTTTACATTTCTGTTCAAGATTTCTGACATTTTGTGTAAATTTCAGCAACAACTTGATGTTTTCTAACAAAGTGAAACTTCAGTTATCCCTGTGTTTGTAAGTAACCGCCCATGCTGTGCAGCTTTCTGCATTTGATACTTATTGGGCTCCACACATGTGCGTGTGTTACCTAACTTAGATGTTTCATTATGGAAAATAATCCCGTTATAGAAACGTGTGTATACTGACTGCATTGAATCATTTGAACCACATGTAACACCTGCATATGTGTTTTTAATAAAAGGCAACGCCTGTAGATCCGGCCCTGTTCACTCCCAGCATCAGTGTGGATCGAACAGCTGACTCGCTGAAGCTCGAACAGGAGGCACGAGTAACTGATCCTTTCTGAGGAGAGTAAACGACGTCTCTTCAGGGAAGCTCTTCTTTATTTTAGTGAGACGATGGCACACCTCGTGTTTCAGAACATAGAACTGTAAAGCCAAGAATACACACACTCGATCCAACAGCATGGATCTAAAGTAGTTCTTTAAAAAGACTCTTTTCATTCGAGAGCACACCACACGTCCTGTGTAACTAGATTAGACTGTAGTGGCACATTCAGATATCGAGCTTGACTGACAGCCTCTCCAAACCCCAGATAAAGCCAATTAAATAATACAGACGGGAGACGGGAAAACAGAGCGACTTTTAAAGCTGGATAAATAAACGCTGATTATACGTCTGACCTTATAGGGGCTTTATTCACCACATATGCATATTGGAGATTAAAAAAAACACCTATAAATATTAATGTGGGGCAATTTGCAGTGTGCAAATAAGCAGTGCATTATCTCTGTGTGGGCTTAGAGTCGAGTCAGCCCCGTGCCCCTTCCTTCAGCAGAGCAAGTCTGACTGACAAACACTCAAAGATGAACTAATGGAACGGATAATACTCATTATGTTGGGACACAGGCAAAACCATTTTCAGCTGGTGCACATAAAACTTCCTGCGTGCACAGAAACTAAAGGAACAGTTACACAATTGCTTTTTAAGTACTGCTTCAAAGACTAACCAGGCCACAGCGCATCGCTTCAGTCCCCCGACGTAATCTCTCGTCGCTATTTCCAGTTTTAGAAAGCATGAAAAGTGATCTGATTTGTATACATAACCCATTTAAATAGAAAGAAGATTAGAGACACATCAATCTTGGCTGAGCCCCGGGGAACAGAGGAAAAGGTTACTAAATTTATCACTCTGCCTTCCCAGGCAGGAGATTTAAATATGGGACTTGGCATCTGACTGACCGTCCTCGGAGGGAAAATATAGCTCCACCTCTGTGTACCCTCACAGCACAAAGACCATTAATTACACGCACGCACGCCATCGGTGTTCCACCCTCACGCCTGCGCTCGCACGCATTATGGTGTCAAAGCTAAACAGTGTTGGGGGAAAATGAAACCCGTGCTTCTCTATATTACCTCATGGTTGCCAGACGGCGTCCCACAGCCGGGCGTGTGGAGCCCCCTGGTCCCTGTTGCAAACTGTTTGCATTATATTCATCTAACACACACGATGTGGTTTCCTGTCTGCAGGTTCAAAGTCTCTACCTGCCCTAAAGTCTGTAACCAAGTTTGTTAGAGAGCTAGTTGTCTCAGTGTTAGGGAACCGGACACACCCGATTACTGCATTAGGCTCTGGGCTCGTGTGCGAGCAGCGCACTAATCACTAATCAATCTACCAGTGAAACCTGCAGCTCTTTAATCTTTCCTGGCAGTGTTGCTGCCTTTTCCTGTTTGTTCTCATGAAGTATTTGTCTTGGAATAAAATGAGGAACGTCACTTTTCTTCTCCAATTAGTCTGCAAAACATTCCTCCATAACGTGTGATGTGCTGCTCTGCAGGTTTGCCCCACTTGATCCTCCAGGCTGTGAAAATGCTGAATCTAAAAATACCTCATCACACACGCTGACAGCGCTGTGCTGTCTTTAATCAGCCACATGCATTCAACATTTCCTAGATGTATCTGAAGGTTCTCGCTGAACACGATCACATGAAACGATGTGTGGACACTTGTTACCTGTTTCTCACACTGGCCGTAGTCTGACCCTTGGTCTGGTTGAAAGAAACAAATCTCTCCACGGTTCTTCGCCATCTCGATGAGCCCCATGGCCGTCCTCACTGTGGCATTACGAGCATGGACAAACACCATCACCTGGGCACAAACACACGGCTTCAACACACCAGAATATTAACACAGCCCAGTGTTACAGAGACGCTTTAGTAATCTCGCTGCACCGTTACAGCCACGCTGAGTTCAGCTCGAACAGAGCAGTGAGACACTCGGCGAGCCTGGGGGGGTCTTAAAGAAAATCACGTCAATTAATATATGTCACAGCCACTTCCTGACAATTCATTACTGAGAGAAGAAGAAGGATCGCTGGCTGAGCAGTAAGCTCTAGACTGTAGCAGTGAAACCGTCCAACCACAAACACATGTGTGCAGCACGTTTCATGTTTTGGACAATCAAACCGGCTTACATGGTGTCAGAGACTACAGAAAAGTTCATATCAGCTTTGCCTCTGAGGGAAGCAATCGGACAAAGAGGGGGAAGCTCGGAAAACCGGAGCGTGTATGTGGGCTGCTTGGAAAAAAGATGCAGACAGGATAACAACAGTCCTCAATAGGCTGCTCAACTCCTGCAGCAGATGGAAGCTAAACGGTAAAGTCTGAATTCACAGCTCTCCTGTTCCCAACAGGCTGCAGAGTGGAGGGGGTGGGTGGATGGGGAAGGAGGGGGAGGTAAAACCGGGGGAGATAAGGACTTGAGAGAATTTAGATAACAGGTGTTCATTCCAAAAGGTTCACACAAAATATTTACTGCAGCACGGTTGCTATTCATGAAAAAGTTCAGGGAAATATTTGGGAGGAAAAGATTGTGGCGCTACACCAACATCACTCCACACGGGTGGTGTTAGGAAGGAAGCATGCATGCTGCTGGGCTTTAGGGCTAAAGCAATCAGGAAGTACATGCATGCAGAAAAAATGACTCTTCAACAGAGCGCGGGCACTGAAGAGCTGAGAGATGCTACAAATACACGTTCAGACTGGATGCCTCAGGCGGAGCTCAGTCCGTGGGTTACACACAGTATAACACAGGCTCGATGAATCCTGTGTCCCCACCAAAGCCCACACACCTGGGTCAAACACAAAGAAAAGCCCTTACCTGGTGACCTGCCTTCACCTGTTCCAGAACTTTGTCATAACAAACCTCCTCCATGTCATGGATCTGCTGGATCTGAACAGGAAGCACAGTGAACAGGATACAATCACAGCTCTTTCTAAACATTACCAGTCCTATTTTTCTCTACATCGAAAGACTTCTTAAATGTTCGTACCTTGTTGTTGGTTTTGATGCCAACAAAGGTCTGTCCCAGAGGCACTGGTCTGAAGCGACCGTCGAAGAAGAAGAGACCAATATATGGGTTGACATGTAGGAAGGTGGCCACATCCAGATAGTTAGGCAGGGTAGCAGACAGTCCCAGAATCCTGATCATGCTCTGGGTGGACTCCACCTAAACCCAAAACCACATACTGTTGTAGTTAGACCAGAGTCCATCTCAGGGTTTAATCTAGGCACAAAGAAAGGTTAAAATAATACCAGTTTCACAGGTGCACGCCACCTTCTCATCTTTTCTGCCTCCTTTTCACTAGTTCTGACTTTGGCTAGAATCAGTGTGAGTGCTGATAGCATGAGGTGATACCTGGACCCTGCAGAGGATGCTCAGGCAGTCTAACAGCTGCAGGATGGCAGGAAGGTTTGTCTCCCAGTGTTACATTTATATTGTTGATTGTCATTTATGCTTAGAAATATTTACCGTAATTGTCGGCCTATAAGC